CCTACAAAAGCCTCAGCACGAGGGAGGTATGGAATGGATACCTGAACTGTTCGTTTCAAGGAAACGGCTATGTGGGAAGGTTTTCCGGGTCCAGATCTGTAGATCCGATCCCCACTCCTAAGGCATGACACAGCTCCTTGCCTCGCAATGGCCGTTCCGAATATAACACCTAAGTCAGGACGTTCAATCCTAGTACCGATATATATCCCTTCTGCGCCTTGAGTGGTGATAAGGTAGCGGTATACTAGTAAGCCTCACTCAGTCCATTTCCCCATGCCATTTCTACAACTTCTTTCTTCTCTGACGAATTGTGACCTCTCCCAGAATAGCATCCATGTTTAGCAATACCAGGAGGAATCTACACGCAATCGTTGGCAAATATACATCAATGGTGGTGTTTGGGTGCCGGGTGCTCCTACTCACATATCAGATATCTTCTCCTGAATAGCCCGCACAATATCCGCCCGTAATGCCCAGTTGATCACCTCTGACTCGGTGCCCCTGTTCGGCTTCATCTCCATATAACTCTAGATATCACTAGAGCTATTGCCGATAGGTATTAGGGCGGCCTCGGGGAAGTATGGTCCCTTTTAACGTTCCCCCCATGTGGGTTTCCAGCGAGGAACACCCCCGTCCTGGGACACTGCCAAACGATATCTCCTAACCACTGGAGAAGCTCAGGTAGGTACTTCGGTAAATATTCCTCCATAGTGCCTGGACAGACGAAAGCCAAGGGTAGCGAAGCAATTGCCATTTTCAACATTCCCATCCAATCCACAACTCTTTGCCCTTTTTGAAATGCCCAACGTGCATGATCCGAGATTCCTCCTTGGCCTACTAGCTGCTTCAGAATAGGTCCCCTGACGTTGGAAATTATTTTCTCCTGAATTGAAAGTAAGTCGCACTCTAAGCCTGCAATGGCGATTTTTTTTTCCTTTCCCGCGGCATCATGCAAACTGTCGATCACTAAGGAACTAGTGTTTCTAGCTGCCAGCGGTGTTCGCTTCTTTGGAGGAATCCTACGACTTACCTCAAGTATGTCTTGCCTACTCCCGGATTCCCGGAGCAAACAAAGACCTCCCTACCTGCTCCATCCTCACCACCTCACCACTCTCTTGGCTCCCTCGTTTCCAAGAGCCATTCCCCAACACCATAAAACCAGTCGGTGCGCACGGCCTGACGCCGGTGATTTGGCTCCGGGAATTCAGTGCCCGGATATCGTCGACATCGTCACATACTGGTACGTTACTGGCACAGAATATCAGCACTGCCACCAACTTTTGTCCTTTCTACCCCATTAAATTATTCTCCATTCCAATCTCTGACCCTCAACGGACCCTCCAGTGGGGTACATTAGTGTGCGCCATCCCGGATGAGCTATCGACCGAGTTGCTATCTTATTACAAGTAATAAAAGTTTCCTTCGGGGGAGACCTCCATTTCAAAGAGAGCCCAAAACCCGGGTGCAGTATTCTAGTATTATCTTGAATCATACTGTAGGTTTTCGCTATTAATTATATATGGAAAAAGTAGCAATTGTGTCCAACCCAACAAATTCCAATATCGGGCTTTTTATCTACCGGTTGAGGCCTGTTTATGGAGTCTGCCACTTGACTGGCATCCTTCGGCGATGGGGTTCTGGCGGCAATACCGGTACGAGAAGCCCTTTTACAAGTATCACTACCGCTACAGCATTCTGTGGCCCTATAGAGATGGCCTCCAAGTGCTATAAGTGCGCACATATGGTCCAGGAGCAAGTCCTCGCTAAACAATTTCCCGCCTCGGGAGCAGGGGGTATTAATATTGGGCATTTTCATGCGATATCACTCCTTATGCATAGTTCGGGGGGATGCATACCTCGGTTAGGTGTGTGCCGGCGCCATCCGACCATAACCGGGGGGGCTACTACTTATCATACACAATTCTACGGGTTGCAATATTGTAGATGCTAATCACTATTTATTCACTCGGGTCCTAGGGCAGCGTAATGGCTTAGCTACGGGAGAACTATTCGATCTCGGTGACAAAATAAACGGATGTCATACCTGCCGGGTCTCCCATATGGAGTGCCGTGTTACGAAAACTGCTGCGAGGTTTTCCGAGCTCAAGAGTTCTCGATGTCTAAGTTACCGCCAAAACACTAACCAGGAGTGGCAATTTGTATGGTGGATTCTGCTCTGTGATCGTGTCGCCTCCCCACTACCAGTATTGAGCAGAACAGAAGAAAAAGTTGACAATTTTTTACATCTAAAGTTCCTTGTGATTCCCTTCAATCTGATTACTCTTTGAAGAAAAAAAAAGATTTGTTGTGCAGTTTTGCAGTGGTAGAAACCCAGGGGGGTACTATACTAGTTTTCTATCCATTGCTTTCATCTCCAGGCTCGTGTTATGCTGTGCATCCGGGCTTCCCTAGTGCATTAAAACCCCTTCCAAGATTATAAATTATGATACTTCCGATCACGAGCACCGGTGACCCATTTTTTTCCTATTTTTTTTTAAGAAAAACTGGTATGATAGCTTATCGATATGTTTGTTGGTAACGCTACTGAAACTTAGTAAGTTACTGGTATTAGGTTGGTTGGTTCGAGGGAGAGGTTGTTCCGAGGACTTACCGTACGAGTAGATGGTAGGCCAAGGTTCAATCAAGTCTTTACTGGTAAATATCCATCGGAACCTCTGCTAAAAACCGGTTCCTTATGGCGTCTTGCTGTAGGGTATATTGGGCCGGTTGTGTGTATGACACTGTAAGTAACGCTGGATCTATGAACACAATCGTTGAGTGGAAATAAATGGTAACGCTAGCTTGACCAGATACCCCGCTCAACCATGCGATGTCTTTGGCTGCTCTGGATTATCATAGAGTTTCATGCACTACACTGGAAAAGGAATTTTTTTTTTTTGGATCCGTATGACATTTCGGGAAATACCGCATTCTGTTATATAAAGCTTGTGTGCTGGACCGGATGCTGTGCCTGGTTCTGTGAGAGCTACGGCGAAAGGGGGAAAATGGCAGGGCCAGGTGTAAAGGTATAATATCATAGTAAGAAAGAAAAAAGGACATAGAAAAGGGAAGGGGAGAGGAAGAAAAGGGTACTGTGGGCTTAGAGTTGAACTGGGATACGGAGGTAGAATATCACTACGACATGTATTGTATCGTGGTAGTTATGCAGGGGAGGACGGAGAAGATGCTATCATACATGTATGGCTACGAGATGGACGGCTAAAAGTGTTAATGCTACCCATGAATGATGGGAATAGATCTTTGTAATTTTTCAAATAATACGAACCCTCGCTCTCTCTCCCTCCGCCATTGTTCCTGATACCCGCTGTCCCGAATGATATCCGTGGAATTTGGCCATCCGGGATAGCGGAGTACAGTACCAGTGTCCGCCATCCACATGCGTTTTGTGCTAACCTGGCTAGGGTCTGGGCGATATTTAATGCATGTCATAGAAAAAACGTTTCCTGGCACCGTACCTCTGGGTCTCTTGGCGCTTATGCCCTCCGTTCCTGGTATGATATGATAGTAAATGTCGACCCCACCCTTGAACAGAACCGGAGCGAGGAGAAAGTGAAAAATTCGATCCGCTTCAATCGAAGCCCTTATCCAACATGAGCCCCGATTCCTTTACAGTCGCAGAATTTTTCGTTTGTTATACGGAGGTACGGCGCTTAGGTTTTGTATGCTCTACAAGCGCGGTTTGTTGACCTTAGCCCCTGCGGGACATACAAAACTTAGGAGAGCTGTACCTCCTAGAGGGGTTTTGAACGAAATCCCTTATAGCGAGACCAATTTGTATGGGAGCGGGGGGGCAAATTCCTAGAGAATCCGTTCCTGATAGCGAGGTTTCCCGTATAAAGAGATCCATCATCCATCATCGCGAGGTGCGAATGAATGGAGTAGATTCGGACATGGACCTCTGACCCCCAGTCGCGTTGGTTGATTGACTCGGTTGGGTGTCAACATTCCTATTCGTGTTGTACTGTGTTCAGGTTGACTATAGTTTACCCAGTTAGCATGCCTAGGTTTCATGCGACTTCAGACCTGCAGGGGTTGAGTGGATGCCTCTACGGATGGGCGGCCTATGCTGCTGACCGGTAAAGCCAGCAAGGCGGATAACTTGCTTGCGGGAGAGTTGGGGCATTCCGGCTAGTTATCCGAGGCCGGAGTAGACGTAGCTGATGTACTCAAAAGTGCGGTCTTTTGACTTTTGGTCGTCCTGGGCTGTGTTGGAGGAGGTCTGTTTTGAGAGCAAATGGAAATGATACGGTACATGATACTACTGTACGTTCTACCATATATAATTGGTGTAAAGCTTCGTCCTTGCCTAAGCCAACCACCTGCATGTACTATACTCCTACTCGTACTGGGTGTTCAGGGTAAGCAGGGTGAACTGGCTCTCGTTGGCATCTGGGCCACCCAGAAATCAAGAATGCACAACTATGGGTTTCTGTATCATACGGTATCTTCTGAGTTTTTTTTGCATAATAATATTATTATGATATCATACCTGACTTTTTTCTCCCTTTAAAGAACTGCCAAGTCTGGGGGATTTCATGGTTGCACTTTCCAGGTTTGGGCTGAACAGACCCGTGTTAAGGTCCAGTTAAGCTCCACACGCTCTTTGGCACCGTACTTGTACTGTAAATTACCGGCGCTGCACGAAGGGGGGTACGGTATGGGAAGGTTAGCCGAAGTCTTGGCTGCTAATCCCATACAAATTCTGGGAGCCACATTCTCCAGACTTTCCCCTACCGTACCCCCTTCGTACATTCATTCTGCTCAAGCTTTCTGCTCGCCCCCCCCGCATACCAGTATCGGTACGGTGGTACTCGAGTACGCATCTTAACTTTACTGATACCTTTTTTTTTTCAACAATTTTGGCCGTACGTCAGGGAGGTGTGCGGCATTGATGATCATACTTATCTTATCTCCCCCCTGGGGCGAAATCCATCAAGATCAGGATCACCATCGTCATCAAACCACCTGCCGTCAAACATCACCCCACACGAACGTCTCGAGTTTCTTCCGTAGAACTTAGCCCTCCCCCCTCCCCCACTCTCCCGCTTGCGCCGATTTACCTGTTTTATTTTTTCTCTACCATTTTTGCCATCTAGATATTTTTCGTTATGCCTCTCACGTTAACTCGTACTTTGGTTCTTTTGCTCTCTTTATTATCCCTGTTTTGTCTGTTTCTCTTTGCTTCCTTAACGAATCTCTCACCCGCTCCATCCGCTAGCCGAAATCGTCAGTCCGCTACAAATTTCCTGTTTCCGTCGACAGCAATAATATCGCTCAGCGATGACAATTCTACCTTTTTCCTCTCTCGGCCTGCAGCCTTCGGTCCCTCGTTGCCCAAGTCCGGACTCAAAGGGGAGTTGTTTGTGCTTGAGGAAGGGCAGCTGGCCTGCGATGATACACCCGGCTGGGATCCATCTTCCACGCCGCCCCTATCGGTGGCTGAGGAGGACGGTACCGATGATTTTGACTACGCTCCGGAGTCGTTGGCTGCCACCGTTACAAAGCCTGGAGGTGCCCATGCCGATATTGAGAGTTTACAGCAGAGCGCGGAGATAGAGGGGAAAATTGTTCTTGTTGCTCGGGGCGGTTGCGGATTCTTGGAAAAAGTGCTGTGGGCTCAACGACGGGGTGGGGTGGCTTTGATTGTCGCGGACTACAAGCGATCTGGGGGCACTATCGGTGGGGGGAGCTTGGTAACTATGTATGCTAAGGGTAGGAGGATAATCTGCCTTTGTTGAGATTTGAGGAATCATCGCATGGCGCGGGGGCAATATTTTTGGTGGCCAACTGCTGATAGGTACGATCGGTGAATTAGGCGACACGAGCAACATTACTATTCCGTCGATTTTCACTACATATACTACCGCGAAACTATTGACGACATTACTCCCTAAGCATGTATCGCTACCGCTGAGGAGGCCCAACACTCAGGGCCCGGTGGCGGGGCCCGAATCGAAGGGTGGGGAAGAGAAAAAGAGTGAGGAGGAGAAAGCTGGACCCAGGGTTAAGTGGCCGTTGGAGAGGAGGAACCGAGCTCCCCCGGAGCTTCAGCCAGCCGGTACAGCCGCAAAATCTAGAAAGACCACCATCACTGCACCTGTCGGGAGCACAGCTACTCCAACATCGCCTTCTGCGGGCTCTGATATTCAGGTGGATTCGTCACGCAGACCTCCTATGTCTGGTGAATTGGATGGTGTGGTGCTTGTGGTCGACCCGGATGAAGAAAAACCTGAGGACGGGAACGGTGATGAGGATAGTGACAAGGATGGTGATATTGAAAAGGATGGCCTCTGGATTACTCTCACACCAACCTCCATGAGTTCTTCGCCATTTTTTGACACTTTATTGGTGTTGGTGATTAGTCCATTAGTTACCTTAACCATTGTCTATGGTGAGTGCTTGCCTAGTTCATTTTACTGCGTAAACTTTGCTCTGATCTACCAATAGCTTTGCTTCTTGCTCGCTCTGTGATTAGGAGAAGAAGATGGAGGGCCCCTAAAAGCGTAGTTGAAAGGCTTCCTGTGAGGACCTATCAATCAACCCCATCAACACCAGCACCCCCTCCCCCTCGGAGGCCGTCGTCGCTTCCCGCACGGAATAACCGCGAGCGAAATGTCAGCAATGCTAGCAGCAGTCGAAGCGTATCTGCTCCTAGTGCGCCAGAAAAACAGAACAAGGAATACATCCATCAATCTCCCCCACGCTCGGGCTACCAAGGAGGTTCAGTGGAATGTGTTGTCTGTCTTGAGGAATACGTCGATGGTGTTAGCAGGGTCATGAGATTACCCTGTGGCCATGAGTTCCATGCTAGTTGCATGTGTGTTTCCCTTTATTCTATATAAAATGGGTCGGACTAATCAAGGTATTAGAACACCATGGCTTACTACAAGACGGAGGACATGCCCTATCTGCAAGGGGGATGTGGTGAGAGGTGCTGCGGCAGGCGGTCCGGGACCGAGCTGGGGCCGGCATAGTGATGTTGGCGAGGCTTCAGAGCGGACACCGCTTGTGATAGGGGATGAGGAGGCCTAGAGGCCTGGGGTTTGTGTTTTCTTTACCGGCTTTCTATTGCCTTTGCTTGCGGTGCATGGCTTGTTGGTTGCGGGATTCTTTCCCTTTGCGGCGCCGGGTTGGGTGACTTGTAAATGGAAACTCGAGCGCCGTTATTCACTGGGACGTGGATTGTCGCTCGATGTGTGGATTTGGTAGCAGTAACTGGGGAAGGCTAATGCATATTACCTGGTGAAATAGAGCGTCAGATAGTGATTATCCCTTGTGTGCGTGTGACAGTTCTGCGAATCGTGATGGCCAACTCGTCAATTGTGGGGTCGAGTCTGGACCGCAGCTGGCGCGGTGGAGAGCATGGTGCCGAGGTTGTCCTTTCTTGTATTACTGGCGCTTTGGTAGCTATCAAGATGTACCTGGAGGAGCCATAGTATCGGCATATACCAGCACAACTCGATACATTCACGTTCGCGCGGTATTTTGGGCACTCCGCTATCATATACCACTCAAAACAGACAATGGCGCTTCAGCTAGGGAGACTGCCGGACCTTGTTTAGCCTCCCTCTATGTGAAATCTTAATTCAGCCTCGTCCTCAGCACCGCAAATTCACTCACGGAGTTTTATGTAAGTTAAGGGGGATTCGGGTGTAAAAGTATGATACCAGTACTCGCACCCGACCCTTCCAAGTTTTTTTCTCATTATTTTACTCGTACACAATCCAAGACTGATTGGAAACTTCTTGTACGGTAGAACGACGTCAGAAGTTGGTCGTCTTGAGCGTCACGAAATCATGGGCCAAGCCAACGGCAGGATATCCTGAAGCTTGTGCACTAGCCACAGGAATCCCTGTACGTACTCGTATGCTATGTGGCGTCCCCCACCGCTGTGGTGGGGGTTAGTTCATTATGACGTACGTTCCCGTGACAGGGTTAGTTTGTGTGTGTGGCTTGTGGCACTGGTACCAGTACCGCCGATATCCCGGGTGCCGTCGGGATGGGCAGTTGGTTGCTCAAGGGTTTGGGTCGCCGCTGTGGCTAGTGCGGGTACCCGCTGGATATTCATGACGCTGATGATGTCAAGTGATTGGAACCCGTTAGAAAAGAGGGAGGCAATTTCTGTGTCCAGGAGCTTGTTTGCCTAGGCACGGAGGGGAAGTGAGAGTATGATACCGTAGGAGAGGAATGAGGAGCCGGAGCAGTAGGAGCACGGGTTTCGGCCTTGGAAAATACACCCTTATTCATATGGATGGTGGCTCTTTGCGACTATATAAAGGCCTTAAAGACCCTGAGGGATGATTTCTTTCTTTCACTATTTCCTACCGGATTTGATAATTCGAATACAGTCACGTTATCGGACAAATACTTTACGCTATACTTTTGGTTCTTAGCTAATTTATCTTTTTTGGTAACCAAGTCTTTACCAGTATAATTCGCCATGAGCAATACTATCAATAAACTCGAGGACTTGGTCACTGGCCATCACGACAATTCTGTCACCACGACTGACACTAGATCGACTGGTGCTCATGGAACACACTCAACCACGCAACCCAACACTTCTACTGGCCGCACTGCTGGCCCACATAGGTCCGATATGGCCAACCGTGCTGACCGTATGTCTTTCGGTTCTTGTGTACCTTCTATTTTCAATTGGGTTGGTACTGAATCTGCTTTTATAGCCCGTGTCGACTCAGACCGTGACTACCGCGGAAACCCAGTTGGTGGGACTGGTGTAGGTGGGATGGGTTCGGCCCATACCTCAGGCTCAACAAATTATGGTCCTCATGATTCGAGTACGATGAACAAAGTGGATCCCCGCGTCGGTTTTGACGGCGATGAGCGCAGTGGATTCACTGGTACTCATGGAGCTCACGGTGCTACTGGGGTTGGATCTACCGGAACATATACTGACACTACTGGTAATGATACTTCCGCCAATGTTGGTCCTCATGACTCCAACATAATGAACAAGTTGGACCCCCGTGTCGACTCCGACCGTGACGGCCGTGCAGGTCTTGGTTCCACGACTTGCGGAAAACCTGGCACTACCGGCATGGGTTCGACAGCTCAGGGCACCCCTGGAGTGGCCGGCGTCTCCACAGGAGCATATGGAGCCATGCCAGGCGGGGCCTCGCACACCGCTGCATATCCCGGCCCTGCACCTAAAACTGCAGGCCCACATAAGAGCGACATGATGAACAAATTGGATCCCCGTGTGGACTCTGACCTTGACGGTAGCAAGATCTTCGGCGCTGATAAGACCCATGCTGCTGGTACTGGCACCGGGGCTGCTGGAAGTACGCATTAGTAAGTTTGGTTATTCCTCTGCCTTTTATTTATTCTTCTGAAGTAGAGCAAGCCACTGATATAGGGGGATTGTGTAGTTGATTAAGGACTCGCTCGCCGCAGCGCAGATATCACCGAGCGACTTCTAGAAGGCCGTCGATGTGAATTATTCTGCTTCTAGGGGGAGTAAGCTTGATAATTTTTTTTGTTGTTGGTCAGAAATGGATGGTTTTGTTCGTGTGATTGTGAGCTTTCGTATTTTTTTTAGGAATTGGATTGGATTGGTTGCTTGGGTAGCCCATCATGGTAGAATCAGATGTAGTCGAGAATTTGCTACTTTGAAAGAGAGATGCTGTAAAAATGTGCTACTCGGCTAGCTCCTTGAGATAAAGACAGTAAAAAAAAAGGAAGACAAATTTTGCGAGAAGAGATAATCCAAACACGGCTTTTTTGCCCAGCCAAGAAGCTCTCCAAAGTGGTTTGAGTTTTTCATAGACCGCGTGAGCCCTCAGCGAGACCACCCTATATGGGACTCAAAATCCGCTTTGGAAATCCGTTCGACAGTACTGTGTGCATGACCAGGGATGGGGCGGAGGTGATGGAGAAATGGAGGGAGAGGGAATGTGAAGGATGTGGTACGGTACATGGAGGCAAGTGCAGAAGGAAGGCATGGAGGTTGGTCAGGGGGAAGTGGTTTTTTGTTTCAGATGATTTACTCAAGTACTCTAGTTATTGTGGAAACTTTGGGGGTGGGAGCAATAAAAGCCCGGAGGGATCAGGCTTGAAACAACACGTGAACCGGAAGAAGGATTCATGTGGGAAGGTGATGGAGGAGAAATTCTGGGAAGGAGACCCGGGCGGGATGGTCTGGTTTGGATAAGGAATATTGGGAAGCTTTATTTTTGAAGTGGACCAGAGTATACTGGATTGGGGTCAAGGACTGTGCCAATTGTGGGGGTGTTTTTAAGGATGGAAAGGCCTTGAGGGCGCATTGGAGAAAGAAGTTAAATTGTTTTTATGTGGATGAAGCGGGAAACTGGGCTGGTCCCAGTTTAATTTGTTATGTATGGTGTTTTATTGTGGAGGAGGGTAGCGAGACCTTTATAGAGGTGGTAGTGATTTTATTTTGGTAGCCCGTTGACCATTTTGGGCATGCAGGATTCGAGTTGGGTTGGCTTGTCCCATAGAACACAAAGCCTAAAGATGGTTACCAGGATTGGGATACATCTTGTAGTTAGTTGTTGCTACGAATATTACAGTATGATATTAATCAACGAGGCGCTAAGGGTTCACAGTTGCTTTATTGTGGCAAATAGCAGTATTTTAGGTGTTAGACAACGCCGCGCCTCGCTGAGAGTGCCGTCTCGCTGAGGGCTCATACGGTCTACTATCCCTTCATCTGTATTTGTTGCCTTTTAGCTCCCGTGAATATTCCAAGATTAGGAATACTTCAAGTGTGGCAATCGTGTAGGTGCTTTCTACTCATACTGGTCGGGTCACATCTGGAGCACGGCGGCCATACTAACTTACCTTTGGTATCATGAAGATCTGGGATTAATCAGGGCCATTAACCGCGCTAAAAAGCTGCGAAATACACGCACGGATTGAGGGATCGTAGCAGGTCGAACCACCGAATCGGTGGTGGGCAGTTAGGGGATAGTTTATGTCTCTGGAAGGGGTAGAAGGAGTATGCCGGACACATTGATGCGCGCAAGAATCCTCAAAATGCAGAGCTCAACCAATCTTTATTTGAGTGGGTATGCTGATGGTATGATGGTATTCACGGAGCAAGTGGGTAGTAGTCATACGGTGGGTATAAAGTTGATAGTAATGACTACCAAGGACGCCCATTCATCGCTGCACGGGCAGATCCGAGATCTGCAAGAGTAATACGATAATCTCGTACGGCGAGTGAGAAGGGGTGATTTTGACGAGTAGCGGGGTGATCCGCCTTTTTTCCATGAATACTGGTTTCATAGCAGTTGCAAGCTCAGAGGGGGAATAGGCTACCAGGGGAAAAAACTGAAAGGTATAGCGTATGGTGAATAGCAGAGCCTCTAATGTCCTAATTTGCCTGTGCAACGGCGAACTTGCGGGGAACGATTGCCATGGCGACCCACCAAGCCAAACCCGAAGGTCCAAAGCTACGCACGTCCCTGGCAAGGTACGGTACCGGCCGATTTTTTTTCTTTAATACTCCATATTGTGAATGCCGGTATCTAAATTTATGTTTCATTGTCACTAATATTCTACAGTTTTGCATGGCTATTTCTCTAGCTAGACATAGCTATTTTAAAAAAACAATAATAAATATACTATTCATCCGTTTCACTGGTCAGGGGGGGGCTATGTTGTGTAGGGTTTTTTTCTTAAACTCTGTCACACCAGGTCACTCGGCCCTCAGGTGAGGCTAAGAAAAAAAAAAAGAGGGCCTCAAGGATAGGGAGCAACGCTCTTCACCCTATGTCTTCTGTAAACCCCCCCCCCCCACCGCACCCACCCATACCATACCTCCTCACCTAACCTATTTATTCCTTCCTTCCTTCTTTCCGCCCGCCGCGCTTTACATCCGCAAATCATTTTTTCCTTCGCATCTGTTCTAAGCGACCATTGACTACAGGATTTACCCTCAAACATTTACCAGATTCGGGGTCGTAAAAGCTCCTTACATATTTTGACACATATTCGACGGTGTTTAACTGGGTTGGTGAGCGATAGGCTAGTGAGTTTATTTCTTTGATTGGCTGCTTTTGGGTTGGTTTCTTGGCTGGTCTTCTAGCCTGCGGGTGGAATTGAAGTTATCGGAGTGCCAGATCCCCATTATTGTTGTTGCTGCTGCTGCTTTCTGCCGCTTTTATTGCCGTCACCCCCGCTGATATTATACTAAGTGACTATTATCGTTCTGACTTATTTGCGCTTCTCGTTAGTTCTACTAGTTTACGACCGGAGGGCCACATTCCTGCTTGATAAGAAGAGCTTGACCCTTTTGACGAGGAGGGTGGTGAATAATAGATCTGTGGTTTTACTCCTTTGGTGCACAACCTTCAGCTAGTCTCTTGCTTGGCCTACTCCGGAGACGCCTCCGGGCGGCCAGAGTTGAGATCACTAGGAAGGGGGAATTCATTCTTCTGATCCTACTCTTTCTAAAGTGGCTCGCGCTATTGCTACCGCCACCAGCACTGCCGCAGCGCCTACAAATTTGGCTGTTCTTGTAGGGCCGTGCTTAGTTCTGACTTCCCTAAGCCTTTATTCTCTCACTAGCTCAACGAGTTGCATCGAGTTACAGTTACTTAGAGCCCAATTTGATATCGACTCACGGCTATCCTCCACAGGGCATTTCTGTATGTTATTACCCTCCGTTATTTCTTCTCACTTCCCTTCCCTTCCCTCCTCACACAACGTATTTCTCTACCACCCGTCCAGTGCCTCCTCTCTGCACCAACCACCATCAAAATAAAGCACTCTACTGTTTCAAGCCTACTTACAAAAGCGGCTCACTTCAACGCATCGTTGTTTCTAGTTGCTGATTACTTAGATACAAAACCAACCATATCGATCCTTTCCGGCAACTGGAAGGTGTGGTTGTTAGGATCTCGAGGGTTTTAACCCTCCTCAGAATGTCTGGCGAGCGCTAATGGGCTAGATAGATACGAATCTTTGAGCCTCTGGGCCTTTCGGTGCTGTACTGAATCTTCCCATTGAATCGAGCTATCGGTCGTGTACTGCGTGACTAGGTTAAGATAGTAGAGCCTTACTTGGTATGTTGTTATCTTAGCACGTTGATATCTCGCGGCATCCTACAGACATGGAGGCTATCAGTGTTATTATTCCATGACAATTACTGATAACATGGGGCGAGAATAGCAACGAGTCCATCTGTTATATAAACATCGAGTGGCCCTGGAGAGAAGCTCATCTGAAATTTTTCTCCCAAAATATCCCCCCCGTACGTTCATATTATACTTCCCATGAACAAAGGCATCACTCTTCCACCCATTCACTAACTAATAATTTTTAACGCGATAGAATCCCCACATACACAGCTATTTACGACATACCTACGGTATACCTTTAGAAAGATATTTGCATGATTCGAGATGGACGACAGCTCACAGAACCCAGCGGAGCGAACACCACCACAGCCAGCACCAGTGAACCCCATTAGCTCTTCCCAGCGCAGGAACTCCTCTCACGTCCGCCCCACCATCATCCTCAAGCGTAAGTCCAATATAGGCCCCACGGATCAATCTGAAAAGCCAGTGGAGACCACAAAGTCGTATGCCCAGATGGTAACAAAGGCAATTAAATCCACAGAAGCCCCCAGTGCCTCCCTCGACCGAGGAGGCTACGACGAGGCTTTCCCAAGCCTGGGAACTGAACCCACGGCAAAAGTTACTAGCCCGGACAGTGCAGGACCTGTTAAACCTCCGATATCAACGCGAAAAGCTGAAGGTCATAAGAAAGACTTTGTTCCTTTCACCCCCGATAACTCGAACAAAGCACAAGCACCTAGCACGCTAATACCCCACAGACGTAACATTAGTCACGGGGGTTCAAGGGAGATCCGGAACCAGTATATACCCCGGCAGGTGGCCCGGAGTGTATCTTTTGGTGGCGGGGGTAAACCGCACTTTGGCCTTGCTCAGGGTGCGGCGAGAAAGGTGTCCCCTTTCCCCGCTCAGAAAGTCAGAGGGCAAAGTTCTGGACACCATAATCCCCCGAAATCCTACATAGAGGGTAGCAGTGCCGGGCCGGGGGAGGAGAAGGAAGGACACCGTTTTCATAACCCGCCCACTCAGCCAGCTAATTTCGGGGGGTATAGGGGCTCTCTTCGGAGGCATAGTTCTTACACTGCCCGTGGCCGTGGGAGGTCACCTACATCTCCTAGAGGGGCCCCTCCTGGCGGACTAAGTTGGCGTCACGAGAGTTGGCTTAACAGGAAGAAGAGCATTGTAGCGCATACCAGCAACCGTATCGATGAAATAAGTCCACCAGAGAAGCCTTCTCCTGTATCACCCGTGGGGGGAAAGCCAGCCGGGGCAACAACCGGAGCATCAGATATCACTCGCCAGGCCTTGGAGCACAGCACAGATGAGACTAGCTTGGAGCGGGGCCCTGAGGAGGAAGGAGCGGAATCACCCACGCCATCACCCGGGGGTAGGGGCGTTCTCCGTCCGGAGAGTGGCCATCAAGGTGAGATGGGACCCGTCATGCAAACCCCGATAGCCGGAACAGTCAGCGTTGCAAAGGACCGCACCTCTCCCTTTTCTAGCGGTTCGCCCACTGTTGGCCCCCGAGGTGACGACACCTCAGCGCTCAAATCCCGTGACACACGCAAAAACGCGCAACAATTGGATTTGCAGTCGTCGGCACCACCACCACCACCACCACCCGCTCTCAACCCCCCAACTTCAAACACTTTCCGCCGTCCAGACCCTCCCGGTTTTCTACCCCCTGTATTTGTGCTTCCACCGATACCAAGTTACCTCCAAAGTGACATTGGCAGCAACAAAAACCAAGAAAATACCTCACCCATGTCTCATCAAACCGAACAAGCTCAACGCCCAAAACTCTCGGCGGACGAGTATTTCGGGCTACACGGCCACCCTTCCAGGCCTCTAAACACCGCCGAACTTCTTGCTTCTATTTCCGCCACACTGGGCGACAAAAGGGCTACCACGGGCATCGCGGATACTATGGCCGATATAAATGAGAGAGAAGGGCCAAGTGGGCCCTCTAAGGCTGTCCAATACGCACCGACGGTTCAAGACAAGGCATCCAAGGCGCTTTCGGGTCACGAGAAGGTCAACTTTGGGGACATGGATTCTAAGAAAGCCGCTCTCGCATCTAGCCAAGCTGCGTCCGGAAATTCTGCATTCAATTCATCCGCCAGTTCCACGGATCAGCAAACTTTGTTAGCAATTTATTCTCCCGAAGTTAGACTTCCGCCCGGGCCAACTCAACCTCCACCCGGGATTCCACTCCCCCCCGGACTTCCAATTCCAGCAAGCTACTACCAGCAACAGAGTATCACCCCCCAAACCGGACCCGGAGATATTTCATTCTCCCAGCCGAGAGAGAAAAAGGCTCTCTACGCTCAACCCATCGATAATCCCCAGCCACCGCCAGGACAATATCGCCAGCCTTATCCAGCCATGGGTCCCTTCACCGTCGGTCAACGTAGCAACGATAATGAGTAAGATTGAGCCCATCAATTATTCCATACCCCTTTTTGCCAGAAGTTTGATGGCTAACTAGAAAAAAAGTTCATACCTGGATCTGGGCGTAACGGACACGGAAATCAAAGTTATCAACGAGACATTCCAAAGATTCGGACAGACTGACAAGGAAGAAACGCCTTCGCTTACCGACCGTTACGGGAGGAGGGGTGCGGTGAGTGGGCAAGGCGGTAGCTCAAAAGGCTGTAAGCCAGCAGGCTTCCCTGGTAACCTGAAGGCTATCGGAAAGGACAATCCCAAAGATCGGTTCGAGGAGGTTTTTGGCGCAAAAGGAAAGGTATCTATCGAGGTGCTCCAGGGGCGCCAAAAGGAGGTATTGGTTGCCGAACGAATCCGCAATGAGAGACTTGCTGCTGAAGACGGGGAAAAGATCCCAGAGACTGTGACAGGCAATACGGGATTGTTCCCTTATCCCACGCACGGAAAGAGCGATAGCGAGACCACGAAGGAGCTTCTAGTAGAGGCGTTCAAGCAGCTTAGTTCGTACATAGATGATAAAGGTGTCATCAATGATCCGGCTACTGGGGAGAATGTGAAGCCAAGTGCTTATCGGGCTGGGCCGTGGAAGAAGCCCCCCGCGGGGGAAACCCTGGACTGGATCAGCGACGATAATACCAGCTTCTTTGATCAGTCTTTCGGTAAAGATTTCGTCGCCGAGGGAAAGCAAACTGCGGGTGGGGGGAGTCCTTCCAACAAGCCGGTGATCTACGATGTCAAACTCAAGCAAACTGTTGAACAGGGTGGGGCCAGAAACACTGGGGGTTCTTCGAACCCGTCAGCTGGCGGGGATCTCGCTGCCAAGGATAAGCGCCGTGTCTATCAGGGGCAAGATTCGAAAGCACCTTGTAATGTCATCTTTGGTCCGCCTAAACCCCCGGGATATCCCAACCACATGCCTAGGGAACACCTCCGCCCTCTTAAGACCTTTGAGCCTTTTAAGAATGACTATCCTAAGGTGAGATACGGTCTCCTCCCGCCAAATCCGAGGAGCATCAATACTGCTGAAAAGCCCTATATCAACCATCGTGGAGGAGCGGTGGGGCCTGTCGCCGATTCTGCGCCCCGATACGTCTACGGACCTAAGGGCTATCTGGAGCTTGCAAAGGATATTCCTCCTCCCCCACCAGCTGATCCATCCCCCTTTAGTCAACCTAAAGTCACTCCCTCTCCCTTTGCGGCGTTGGAACAAGCTCTAGGAACCACCCGCTTCACTCAACTAGTCCCCCAACACAGTCGCCTGGAAGGTCCCAAACCTCCCCCAGGAGCAAAGCCAACCGGAGGTTTAGTTACAGATACCATCAACGGGTTGCTTCGCGTCAATTACGGAGGAAAACAAACTCAGCTTGACCCAGACGGTAGTGGCCTTTCTCGCAGCGAAATCTTAAAACGCAAGCAACGCCCCGGGTCACGCATCGGAATTAATTTCGATGGGTCAAATGGGATGGAATTTGATATAGACAAGACTGATTTTAACCCCGCCGAGCACAATACACTAGGCGGCAAGTTCAAGCTCAAGTCTCAGCTGCGTAGGGAACAAGAGGTATTGCGGGCCCAACTTCCCCAGCAGTCCCAGCAGTCTGGAGGTGCCCAACCAGCTACACATGCCAAAGGAATCCCTGTTCAAGGTGGGAGCTCTGGCCCAGGCTCCGGGACCCGTTTGATGTTTGATGTGCCTCCCGGTGGGGGTCCGCGGCCAGTCCCCAGCACCCCAGGAAACTGGGCCGCCCAAGGCATCCCAGAGGCAAAAAGGGGCGTGAAAGGTTGGAACAGCGGAATGGGGGGGAGATAATGACTTTCATCTTACCTCATAACAAAAAACATAGCATACACACAGTTAACTTTAGATAGCAGTCAATATCAAGGGGAGCTGATGCGGTAGATAGTTCACGGTATTTGGATTTGTATCACTTTTGCTCATTGGGGGTTATTGCTTAGTTTGGCTGGTTTGCTGGTTTTTCTGTTTTTTAGATTCAATGAAATGGATTAGTACCTTCCCTCTTTTCTCCCTTTACCTTTAGCGACGGCCCACTAGATTCACGGGTTTTGTGGGCTGGATTGACAGTTGAGCGTGAGATGAAGTTCCTTTCCCGGATACGAGACACCAGCATTCATTTCATTCGGGGAAGTCTTGTGGATAGTCGGACACTCGTCACCTCACACCCAGACGGTCCCCTACAGTACCTCTCATTCTGTCCCAAGACACGAAATACGTCCATGGAATTTTCCGTAAATCCCGGAGACATCTGGATCTCAGAGGTACTTGTACCGGTAGTTTTCCTCTTTTTCAACCAGGGAGTGTCGCCGATCAGACTGTCGCACGGATACCGTATGAAACCCCACCCGAGTGACACATCCCTGTTTCCCACAGGGCCCGCCCGTCAACTGTTCGACTCTGTTATTCTATCGGGCGGGAGGAGTGGTGCAGTCATTTGAGTTTCTGGTGGATAGGATATGCAGTCAGATGGTGGAATCAGTGTAGCGGCTGCCTGGTACCGGTATTGCTTCATAGACTTTGCGGGGATCATACCTACTCGTACTCACAATGAGTACCGTTATCCCTTGCCGCTATAAGATGCTGTGACTAGAACTGCTATTGAGGAATGGGATATAGGCTCTGTAAGTCTCCATCCATCACTTTCGGGGTGGGGGGCGGGGTCTGGTAGAAGTCAGCCTAGAATTTATGACATATTATAGCAGGGCCCGCCCGTCCATCCCGGGCAATTACCTGGTATACTCGTAGCAAGATCGCTTGGTCACACCGTCTATAATTGGACGGACGGACTGCAGGCATGGGTTCTTTGCGGGTGCGTTGCGGATCTACCGTAATTTTCCGGAGGTGTACTAGTACTAGTACTGTACCTTGCATCGGGTGAACGCTTGCAAGGCTTGATCTTCAGAACCTCCCATTCCCCTCGGCTGGCTTCCGAACCGTTCCAGTATTTTTCTGTTTCATCAAACACTCTTCATCCTAATTTACATTGCTCTGCACTTCCATGATACACCAACGCCCGCATTCTGGTGTCCTCCGAAAAACAAACACCGTTTAAGAGACCGGTATGGTTACTATGGGTCTTTGTAACCTTTGAACCTATGCGAGTTGCTTTGAATTGTTGAACTTCGGGAATTACCGATAGCAGAGTTAATTATAAAGAAGCCATTTCAAACAAGCTCATCGGTATGTGGTTTAGAAAGAGATGATTCACTAACTTGGTGAAATGTGCTGCACGGAGGAAGGTAGCGGAGGGAGGAACGTTGAGGTAAGATCTCATTTAAGAATCATGGCTTGAAAATTGATAGGAGGGAAAGTTAATCCACCAGGTTTACTCAAGGTGGGATATACAAGGAGCAGTTGGTGTCTCCCAAGTCAAATACTAATTATTATTATTATTATTTTCAATTTGGCATCGCTGGTACATTGCGCCAAGTAGGCAATTAAAATTAACAAACAATAGATTATGATCGATTTCGAAAGTCTCGTCACTCTAGAGTTTCTCAGAATTTTCCTCTCCCTCTCGGATGCAATTCCCCACAGCCCACCATTTCCCCTCTTCTAGCCATTGACTTTACCTCTCTTTGTTAGGAAATCAGTCTGAACCCCTACCGTGGCGTCAATATAACAGAACAATTGAGAAATTTAAAGAACTAGCAGACTAACGGACCTTTTCGAAATCGATAATAGCAATTACTCACTCTTTCTTTTCCCTTTACCTCCCTTGTCATTCGCAACTACAGTAACCTCCTGGCTTCCACTACCCTTCCCAGTGGAATTATGCTCCTCGCTCGCCGTGCCTTGGCCGCACCGGTGTTCCCACCCGTCCGGTCCGTCCGTCTTGGGGGTAGGACGGGATGGACTATGGACTGTAGTCCGTCTTTTCGGGGGTGCTCGAAAGGACAACTCCCGGGACTGGTAGTATCAGACGGACTACCAAGGAGTCAGTGTTGTACGTAACGGGGTGTTTCCTCCTCACCATAATCAGACTCTCATTGCCATGCGCGTACACGGAAACCTTATAATAAAGGTGGTGGATGCAAGTAACAATGATAAGTTTGCATGGGTTCCGTTGTAGTTATCGGTTCTGCTCATCGCTTTGGCTTGGTCAACTAAGTATTCTGCTATCAAACATTAGTGATAGAGCTCTCTAGCTAGTCGCTGTACTAAAGGGGAAGGGGAAGGCTTAGAACTGAGGACCTCATGTCCTGAAGCAATTGACCATGATTATTTCTTTAAAAAAAAACCCCCCAGATTGCAAACCTAGTGCTTCTTGGATGTTGAAATTGCCCTCAATCCTCAATCTTGCAGCTTTTTCCCAGCATCCCCAAGCGTCCAGAGCAGTGAAAGTGGAGGACGGCGGCCGGCTTCAGGTGGGACGGCGGGCCCTACGAAGTGAAATGGTGTTGGTAAGGGCGACGGTGGGGGACTTCCGAGGACGGTAGGGAACAACTATGGACTGCAGGGGACGGCGGGGGACGGCGGGAGAAAACATGCAGTCACACCCCGCTATCCCGGATCTCGATAATGCGGATACCTCGCTGTCGCGTATGAATCTCTATGAATTCTGAATTTTTTTTTCCACCAAGGCCTAACCCACTGTCCCGGATCCCTCGCTGTGTAGGACAGCTTCTTCGGATTTTAGCCATCCGGGATAGCGAGGTGCAACTGTATTATACCACAAACAACCTGAGGAATGGTTGAAACATTGCGGTTGACAAGCTCCTTTTGTGCATCGGATTTCAGGCTGCAGCACGGTGGTCCTCGGGAGTCCGTCCAGTCCTACCCCAAAGACGGATTGACCGGACGCTTGGGAACACTGCTTTTTCCAGCAAAATATGGGACTGAAAGAGAGATTAGAAATTTTACCTGGACATGGGGGACAGGTTGTCGTACTAGTAGTTTCTGATTGTTCTTCTTTGCCTGCTCAAGCCTCTTTTTCCTTCTGTTCAAGCATCTTCCCAAAATCGTCCTCCTTGTTCTTAAGCTTCATCTTAATCTCCCCCTTCTGCCAAAGTTGCTGCTCAAAGATTATTTTTTTTCCCAAATTGTCGAAGCGTTTGAACCAGGTTCGGTCCAGTTGCATTATTACAGTCACACCCCGTTGTCCCCGATGGCCAAGATCCTAAGAATCCGTCCGGGACAGCGAGTTATCCGGGACAACAGGTTCGGTTTTGGTGTAAAGAAATTTATAATTCATAGAAATTCATCCGGGACAGCGAACAATCCGGGAGAGCGAGGTCCGGGACAACGGGGTGCGACCGTATGATACTGTACATGGAGAAGTTGAATCGGGGTAGCTGCCCTTCCATGTACCGCGTGTTGGCGAGTGGTGGGTACATGCATAATCCTGCCGGCTAAGGGCCTGTTCACCTAACTGTCTATGTTTAAAATTTTCTCAGTGAATGCAGATGTCCGCACTACGGCAAGAATTGTCACAGCAGATGGCTGAAAAGTACTTACCTAATTTTTGACCATCCCAAATTCTTGATTCTAGATGGTCAAATGAGATGTTGCTTCCGAGGTCCGGTTGCGAACCATGATCAAACACTCCAGACGGTGCTCAAGGTAAACACTTCTAGACGCTCTGCCTGGGTACAACTGTCAAGCCCTTCTTGATGGTTGGCGCTGTTTCCGTCCACTAGATGGCCGTCAGTAGGTAAAGGGGACCTAAGTGGCTACCAATGAGTGGATTAAAGGCAGAGAAAGAGGTCTCGACCGGAATGGATCATGATTTGTTAAATAGTGAACAGGGAGATTAAGAAAAACTAGGGGAATTTTAAATGAAGGTTTCCGGGATAGTAAAAGATGAACGTGGAAGGAATTGGAGCGAACAAACGATTATTATTTGTAAGCACAAGGTTCCTGGAGGCTCGTCATGTTCAGGTATCCACATCCGGGAGACAATTAATACACGCTGCATAGCTCATGGCTTGACCAAGTCATGCCCAGATATCCACATCCTGGGTGGCAATTATAACATGCTACATAACCCATGGCTTAACCAAAAGTTGTGTCCATGATAACATACAAGTAATGGTACATTCTTGTTTGATTTATGGTTCCAGAAGATCGGATTCTGTACCAATTTCGTTTTTACAAAATGTAGGATGGTTTAAGATATAACTGAAATCATAATAATACTGGTATAACAACCCTATTTATATGAGGTATGATAGTGTTATGATATCCTCTTTACTTATATCATAACAGCTTACAATACTGTTACTCTGATTACTTGTACTTATGCTGTGATCTTACATTCCTTAAACTAGTTAGTCTATTCCTCTTACTAACTTGTCTTCATTAGAAGTACTTAGTTTCTTTGCCAGTAACAAGTATCTTGGCATTTGTATATCTTAGTAGTTAATAGGTAGAAAGTTATATCATAGAATTTTTCTATCTATAATTTCTTAATAGAATTTTGAAGTTGAATATATCCCCACTTATTATTTCATAATATTTTTCCCCATTATCCTTTTCTTTACATGAATTAAATACAAACCTTATACTATATATAAAGTAGTTATTGCCTACTTCACTTAAAACAAGTTAAGGATAAGAATACATTCTAATCTATCTTCATACTATTTACATAATGTTATTATTTAATATATGATGCAAAGCGTAACAAACGTAGACCAAGCCCGT